TGCAGGTTTCCGGCGTTCTATCGGCGAGGACCAAGATCTATCCGTCCAAACCGAACCGGGACGCTTACACTTGCATTAAGTTGGATCCACTCTCAAGAGCTGCAGATCCGAGTTGTAAGGCTGCTTTCAGGCCGGTTTTTGGATCTGCTCGGGTCAGACCCGGGCTGGTCGGGTCGGTTTTGGGGTGTTGACCACAGATCCGAGCTACTAGGTGCAAGGGGATACAAATCCGGGCTTGTTGCGGGCTTCGTGAGAGATCGGGCCGTGGACGTGAGCTGGATCAGTATGGACTACAGCTACTTGGACCTGCTAGCTGTGGAGCCGGCGTATGGACTTTATGCTGAAGGCTCGTCGGAAAACGAAGCTGCCGGTGTTGAGCTCGTTGGGGTGGAGGAAGGACGACGTGAAGGTGTCGCCGGTGGAAGTTGGTCGTTGTTGTGACATGAAAGCGGCGAGGAGGAGGGTGTTACCGGCGTGAACGACGGAGGTGGTGGTGGTGCGTTTTTTTCCCGGCGAGAAGGAGCTAAAAGGTCGCCGAAAAACGCACGTGTGAGCAGGTTCGCGAGCTTGCTGCTGGTGGTCGCAGCGTGAAGGTCGCTGGAGCTGGAGGTCGCCGGTGCGACAGGTGCTGCGTGAGGGAGTGAGTTGCAGGCTCGTGGTGGCAGTTGCGAGTTCTGCTTGCCGGCGTGAAGGTCGCCGGGCGGCGGCTAGCCGGAGCTGCTGGTAGGTGGCGCCGAATTTTGAAGGTGGAGGGTGGATCTTGAGCTAGGGTTTCTTTCTTGGTGAGGTGATGGAGATGGTGAATAGTAAAAGAAAGAGGATAAGATCTGAGTGGTGTAAATGAGCTAAGGGGAAATTATGATGTCTTCTATTTATAGATGAGTGTACATGACAAGGGTTTTTTACTTTTCTTGGGCTTAAAATTGGATCTTAGGATTCCTACACTTGGGCCTAATAATCGAGCTTCATATAAACCGAACAATGACTTATGAATTAAATGTCCGGGTAAATTTAAATTGTTCGAAACATAGACTACATTAATTTAGTCCATCAGAATTAATAAAACAAATGGGCTCGATTTAAAACGGATATGAACTAGGAAAATTAAATGCTCGGTTTGTAGTAATAATTTCTACTTGGGCCGAAATTAAATATTAGGCTCGGACTTAAAATACTACGAGGGCCCGATATTTAAAATATCGCTTGGGCTTGGAAATTAATTCAACTACGAATTAAAAATAGCCGACCAATAAATTTTATCCGCTCAAAATCCATTGGGCTTGAATAATTAAATTATTCAATTTCGGTTTGCTTAAATAAAATTTCGATTAATCCAAGATTTGGTTTTTAAAAATATAACTGATAGTTGGGCTAGATAGATCCGACCTTAATAATTAAAATCAAATAAGTTGTCCATGGCTTAGACTTTAATACTAATTAATTAATTTAATGCAAATAAATATAATACATGCCTCAAATTTAGAAACTTAATATTTATGGAAATATAGTCGAGCTCCATAAATAGTAGATAAAAATTTGGGCGTTACAGAGTCCCTTCCCCATGAGCTTTCAGAAGAGAAAATAGAAGATAAGTAGTTTGAAATATGATCTGCAATCTCCGCTTGAGTTTGATGGATCATGTTCCCTTTAGAAATAAGTCTTGAGATAGCATTTTGTCTTCTTCTTTGAAAGTATATGCATGGAGAATTTGGTCTTGTTGTCACCTTCTCTATGCCATTAGACTTTGGCCTTCTGCTGCCAGAACTTTTCTTTAAAAGAATGAGCATCTTCTAAATCTTTTTTAACACTCTCCCAAGTGTCTTGTTGTCATCTCTATCTGCTGTCCGCAGTTCTTCCAATTTATCAGTTAGCTCCTTAATCTTGGACATGTTGAGGGATTTGGAATTGAAGCTCCACAAAATCAGTTCATTTATAGTGTGTTTGATCTTTTCTTTGATCCTAAAAAGGAGTACTAGACTGGGGTGAGAGCCAAGCCTTCTGAACCACCTCATTAAATCCTTCTTGTTTAAGCCACCTCTTATCAAAGAAGAATCTTCTCTTGTGTCTAATAGGCTGAACCTCAGGATTTAGAAGTATGAGGGAGTGATCTGAAGCAATTCTCACCTCATTCTTAACAGTAGCATTTGGGTAAGTGCTCATCCAATTCCAATAGGCAAATGCCCTGTCAAGTTTTCCTCAACAAATCCTTCTGCATGTCTGTTGTTACCCTATGTAAATTGATATCCCTCCATTCTCATCTCATCCATTTCCATAGTTGTAATGAAGTTATTGAATCCAAGAAAACTTCACTTCTCAGCCTTCCCCTTGCTTATATTCTTTGCAGCAAATGTCATTCCAATCTCCCATGATGAACCATGTGTCCCCCCAAGAAGTTCTATCTACCTCAAGCTCTTTCCATTGTATTTCTCTTATCATTTTGTCTATGCTAAGGTAGACAAAGATGCCTCAACTCCTTTCCTCATTATGCACCTTGAATTTAGAAGCCATATAGAATTCTTTAAATATCAACTATTCAATTAAAACTTCCTGAGACCACAATAACAGCAACCCTCCACTAAGGCCTTTTGGGTCAACAATAGCACATCTATCTGCAAAGCCAAGTTTTTTGTAGGTGGATTTAACAAAAGAATTAAGTTTTTTGGTTTTGAGAGAAAAAAAACTTTGGGTAGTGAGTCTTAAAAGATTCTTTGATTTGGGAAATTATAGAGGGCCCACCCAACCCTTTACAATTCCACAACACAGCTAACATTGATCAAGCGAGTGTCACTCTAGGCTGGCATCTCAAACCTTTTCTAGAACCACTTTGATCTTTTACAACTTCCCTATAACCAAATTATCACACATACGTGTGCTAAACTATGTAACACGACTTTGCATGTTTATTCAAAAATATTATAGTTACAAATTAGGGAAAATTATGCAAGCACACAAGTAATATCAATAGGACTAAGGGCGTGTTTGTAAACTTTGTATACAAATATATTAGCTCAAAATGAGTTTTTTTTTTTTTTTTTTTTTTTTTTT